TAAAGTAGGAAATAAGTTGGAAGTCATGGACAAATGACCTTTTTTCTGTTTAGAGATGATGATTTCAACTCGGATGGTTTCATAGACTACGCTGAGTTTTTGAGAGCGCAGAAGATGCGGGAGGATCAGGCAAGAGCTCAGATGCAGCAACAACAACAACAACAGCAGGCTGCTCAACAACAACAACAGCGTCACTAATTTTGAATCGGGGTTATATTGGACTTCATTGATTTTTGATGTTTCCTTTGCCAAATTTGACTTCTTCTATTTTTGTTTTAGTCTTCAGTTCCTAAACTCTACTGAGTGTGTGTTTTCATCATGTGGCTTAGATCGCTACTTAGACTGTAAACTGCTTATATTGCATTTTGCTATGCTTATTGGAATTTCTCAGTTTCTACTGGTTAAGGTAGCTAAAGACTTCTGTGATCTATTCTTTCTCGACTTAATTCATTGTCGCATAATGCACTTTTGTTTTGTGATACTTGTTTAGCTTTGTTGATTTGCTATGCGCATATTTGATATTGTTGGTTACCCTTAACAGGTACCCTTTTCCTTTCTTTTTAAGTCTGATAAAGGGCGGAGGGTTTGTGCCTGAAGATTTTTATTAAATATGATCATGAGACACTTTTATTAGTGCAGAAGTCATTATTTTTCATTGGTTAAAATTTTGGTGGAATTCATAACATGCACAAATGTCCAGTTAAGAAAAAAATCCTTTCATGGAGTACGATAATCCGCCTTACTGCTTCTGGAGCTGTCCGTGTTTATGGTTGCGATATATATATATATATATTTATTTATTTATTTATTTTTATATTTATGTTTATGTCTGTACCAGTGCGAACCCTCCGATATAAGTATTAAGGAAATTATCTGGTTTTTTTATAATGTTAACAAAAAAGTTCTCATGATTCAATTTAAAATCATCACATGCGCTTGTCTGCGAAAGGTATGGAAGTTCGATCCACCTTCTGATGCCAAAGGCACAGAGCCGTGATCTCACTGCTTTGCC